TGCTGGGGGATTGAACCGCGGTCCCTGTGCTTTGCTAAGCTTGTTCTAAGTAGGTGCTTTAGACCACTGAGCCATCTCACCAGACCCTCAAGTCAAATTTTGATACTTAAAAATGTATCTAAAATATGTCACAATGGGGCCAGGGAGATAGCTCAGTAGAATAAGTGCTTGCCTGGCAAGTGCAGGGTCCTGAGTTCAACCCCTGGTACAGGAGGAAAAAAAAAAAGTCACAAATTTACCATATATTATCTTTTGGAGTTTGAGATAGGATGTCACTGTGCAGCTCAGGCTGGCTTCAAACTCACAGAGATCCTCCTGTCTCAGCCTCCTAAATGCTGCGATGACAAGCCTGCACCACCACTCCCGGCCACCAAATATTGCCAAGTTCACAGTGTGGGCAAAGGATCTAGGGAAGAAGGGGAGGGGTAAGGCCCATCTCTAGGCACCTGGCGCTCACTGGGGTGAGGATAGACAAGGCCGATGGGCAGGCGGGGTCAGGAGAGGCACCCAGGGCCCACAGCGGCTGGCACCAGGTGTCAGACTGAAGCAGGCCGTCAGAAAGACTGCAGAGGGAGCGTGGGCAGGGCCAACAGGGAAGATCCGGCAGAGGTGGCCGTCGACCTGGGGATGGCCTGACAGTTCTCTGCGACACCACAGCTCCGTCCATACCAAGGTCAAGGGGGCTTAGCGGGAGGTGAACACTGTCAGTCTGTGCCGCAGGATGCTGTCCTGGACAGTGGAGAGCGCTGGGTGTGGGGGTGTGTGTAGACGGTGGAGGAGGAAAAGGGGAGGATCCAAGGAGACATCCCAGCTCCTTATGAGGACAGGGTGACCCGAGGTGTGCAGCAATGACTTCCGTTGGGGACTCTGACTTTCACGATACACTGAGCCAGGGAACAGAGTTAGCTAAAGCAGCCAAGTAGACTGAAAGGCCGATCTGAGGATCAGAAAGGCTGGGATGCGGCTCCGGGGAGCATAGCTCCCCAGTCTGAGTGCGGACGGGGGCTACAGGAAGATGCTGGGAAAGCCAGCTGTATTTAACACCAGGCAGGGGGGCTGGCAGTCAGAAAGCAAGCCCCGTGACCCCGGCAGCTGGTGGATGAATCACTGGGGGCGGCTCCAGGGGCATTGGAGAAAGGGCCTGGGCGGGCTGGGAGCGCGAGGGCCGACTGCGCACAGGCGTGCAGCTGGCTAACTGCCTCACACGGTCCCTGGGTGTGCTCAGCTGGGCTGAGGCTAGAATGTGTGATGCATCCCGGTGCAGCGCGGGGATTAAAGGGTGGGTGTTGTCTGATCAGTCCCCTGATTGGGTCGCGGTAGGCTAGATACCGCACAAGGGAGAAAAAGAGGCTGTCTTCTCTGCCCCGTGACCCTTGCCACCCTGCCTTGGAGCCAGCCAATTAGGGACTGAAACCTCTACAAACTGAGAGCTAAACAAATCTTTCCTCCCACATTGGGGATCTTGTCTCAACAATGAGAAAAGTAACTAAGACACAAAGCAAACCAAAACATCAAATATTAGACCAACAAACAGTAGCTTATAAAATACAGTAGGTGGGCGCCATCTGCTGGTACCAGGCAGAACTGCAAGACTCTCACCAGATTAAATCTCACACACCCCTACGTCTGATTTCTTAATATGAAATAAAATATTCTGCACTATTTCGATTTGAAATTTTTAAAATCATTTAGTCACTGCCTTTAGTGTCCTTGTCATGAGACTTCGTTAATGAATAATAATGTTATTACATAAGGGAGGTGACTAGAGATTGAACCCAGGGCCTTTGCACAGGCTACGTCTGCAGCCTTTTTTTTTTTTTAAATTGAGAAACAAATAGCAACGTGACACTTTCAATAATTAATACATTGCATACTGCTGTCTTCGTAGTAGCTATTCATAGTACAAGATGCAGACATGACATATCCTGTCCAAACGCTACTGGTACAAATCTTTCTTCTCATTGAACTACGAGAAAGTAGCTGTATATCTATTCTAACTATTTAAAAAAATTTTTTTCCATAATTTTATTGATAAACAAATAGCGATGAGACAGTTTCAAACCAAATTGGTAGGACAGTTTCAATAATTAACACATTGCATCTAACTGTTTTGTATATAAGCTTTTTTTTTTTTTTTTTTTTGGTACTTTCATGAAACAAAAAAAAAGAAAAGCTCAAATTACCAATCATTAGAAAATTATGAATTAAAGCAAGAAATCAAGTAGCAGCAAATGCTGGCGAGCGGCTCCTCGGCTGGCGGGGCTGTGGGCTAGGACAGCTGCTGTAGACATCAGTGCAGAGGTGCCTCAAAAACCAAAGAGAGGTTACAGTTTACCCAGCTTTCCCGAGAGGCATCTTCCCCAAAGAATAAAGGACATCTGATTACAGCGAGCCAGGCACACCCAGCGTACAGCAGTACCATTAATTCATCAGGCCAGATCTTGGAAGCCGCCAATGGATGGACAGAGACAGAGCGTGGGCTCTGCATGCCAGGGCGCCCTGCTGTGCATCCAGGAGGACGCAGCTGGGTCACCTGCTGGCCGAAGGGAGATCTTCAAGTGGAAAAAGAGATCAAGAGAGCTGGGGAGCTGGTGAGATGGCTCAGTGGTCTAAAGCACCTACTTAGAACAAGCTAAGCCAAGCAAAGCACAGGGACCATGGTTCAATCCCCCAGCACCA